TATTTACTTTGAAACAGCTTTTAGAATTTGTTCATCTAAATAGGGTTAGGATAGATGTTCATCCATTACATAAAACAAAATTTGCGTCATTCTTTTTCATCAAGTTTTATATAGTTTTAGTTTAGCGTACAAAATAATGGGCTTCTCATTGACATTTTCACACACACACACACACATACATACATACATACACACACACACACACACACACACACACACACACACACACATATATATATATATATATATATATATATATATATATATATATATCCTTATACTTCATTTTATTCATTTTCCTGCCACCTCTCCCAACTTTTTCTCCCTTATCCCTGGTCCCCATGTTCCTCCCAGATGGGTCCCCTTCTGCGTGTGTGCGTGTGTGTGTGTGTGTGTGTGTGTGTGTGTGTGTGTGTGTGTGTGTGTTAATTTTGCATATGATAGATTCAGCATATGAGAGAAGATGTGGATATTTTCACTTTCTTCCTATTATTGTCTCACTCCCTCCCTCCCCTTTCTTCAGGTTCTTCCCTTTCCTCACGGTCCCCTTCTACTTTCATGTATAGAGTGCACACATTTATAAACAAAGTACAACGTTTAAGGTTCCACATTTGTAATTCTACCAAACCCAATTAAGATGTAAGAAAATTAGAGATAACCTAAAGAATTACCCATAGTTTAAAGACTATGCTATATGTACACATTCTTTAAATGCTTTGACAAGACAAACTTAATAGGAACAAATTATTTTTGCTGCTGTTCAGAAACAATAGAGTATAGTTTTGAAGTGTTTCGCTTTGTTAATTTTCCTTTTATATGTTCAGATTTCTGGAGCTTTTTGTAAAACAGGCAAAGGTTTTCACCCTGGATCTATGCAACAGCCTAATCCAATGCAAGATTTACATTCTGCAAGACTAGACTCGGACTCACTAACTCTGGGCTTTCCCTGAAAGTCACTGCAGGGCAGAAGTGCTGAGGATGCGTTGTGTTTTCTCCAGGATGTTATTTCTCACATAATTATTGGATCTAGTGCCATTTTATAACTATTGGACAACACCTTTGATATCTTTACAGGATATTATATTTATAATTATCCTATTTCTAGTGAAAAGCACTAAACAAAAACACAGGAGCTGGCAAGATAAGTGAGGAGGTAAAAAAAAAATGCACACACTTGGGAGTCATGCGTTTGGCTCCTAGAGCCCACATAAAGGTAAAGGAAAGAGTCAACCCCACAAAGTTGTCCTCTGATTTCGACACGGCCGCTGTGGTTCAAATGTACTCCTCTCCACATACACATCATATGCCTACACACAATAACAGTACATATTAATGTTTTGAAATATAGGACATTTAATTTGGAGAAAAATCTATGATAAGGAGATTATAAACATCTTTAAAATTTGCTTCTAATTGATGTGCTTTCAAAGAAGCTACTAAATTTGGACACCTCTAATACACACTTTAGTGAGACTATGCATCATTTTATTACACTTGGCAATAGCTATGTGGCAAGATGCCATGAGTAACATTCCTGCTGCTCTTATTTGGTGGCAGTTTTGGCTTTAAAGCTAAAACTTTTGTGTGTGTGTGCTTTGAAACAACTTTCAGAATTTTGCTCAGCTCATTATTTTGGGTTCTTAAATGTCTGTTTAATTTTCAACATTACATTTTTTTAAGTCATGGTACAGATGATCAGCCAATTTTGTGATAAAAATCAAACTATGATTTACTTAATGATTTCAGGCACAAGGCAATGAAAATACAGAAGACAGTTCATAATGCATATTGTGCTTGCTGCTTGCATTTGCGTTGAATAGGAGGCAGAGGTGTTCCTTCAAATGGTGTAATTAAAACGAAAGCTACTGGGGAAGGGGTGTTGCTCAACGTTGCCCAGTGACAGAGTACAACCCTGCTACATGCAGGACCTTTGCTTCCATACCCAGTGCCACAAAACAGCCAACGAACCACCAAAAACTTTTAAACTTTACATTCAGTAGTTAGTGATAATGCTTAAGTGTCAGGCACTTGCTGTGGGGGCACTTTCCATGTCCCTGTCACTTACTACATGGCTTTTTTGTACACAGCATAAAACCAAGGTTCTGAACCCACTATGCGCACACTGTGAACTCTTAACATCAAGCCCTACTATCACCTGACAGCCTGTGTTTTCCTGGGATTTTTTTTGTCTCTGGCCCTCCTGTCCCACAAGCATACCCAGTCCTTCTGAAGCCTTTTGATCTCTTTCTTCCTGGGGTGTTTGTCTCCAGATCTTGAGGTTATGCCATTCACTCAGGTCTCGACGCATGGTACTTTTCTATGGACCAAGCTCACATTGTCTTATCGAGTGCATTTTATAGCCATTTGGTATTTTGTTTTTCTGTACCTCTCCTTCTCCGTTGTGTCTATTAAGAGAGCAGGAAGACAGTGAATACTTTCCTTCACTGCCTGCTGGCTACAGCCCAGGGCTGAGTTGTACTCATTGCTCAGTGTTAATTGAATGAGGAAGACTGTCATTTCTTAAAATAACCTTTAAGCTCAATAGAATTTTCATGCACATGAAAAATGCTTCCTGCAATTATCTAAGCTAATTAGGTGAGTCCCTAGAGTTTGGGGTTCATCTGATGTGAGTGAAGGTCTACTTTAACCGTTCTCTGTCAATCACCATGGATACTCACATGTTCCTCAATGAGATCATCAACTAATCATTTCAAAAGTAGTACAGACGAGGCATATTTATTAAGTGGCATGTAGTTCATACAAGAAAGCCTTCTCTCAAAAGTCAGTATTCTTATAAAATAAATGAAGGAATAATACTTATTTATCATTTCTATTTTTTAAAACATGGACAAAGCTTAAGATAGGCCTGTATTCATTATTCAGTATTATTATTTATCTCCTCGTTCTTCAACCTCCCTTAAAACTCTCATTCTTTTTTTTCAATTGAAAATAGAATTTTTCATACACTATATCCAGATTATTCTCCCCTCCCTTTTCTTCAAGATCCTCCCCACCTCACATACCACAAGCCACACTCTTTCTTACTCTCTCATTAGAAAAATAAGATTAAAAATAAAAACAAACTTGAATATGAGAAAACAAATAAATGAACAAGAAAAAAAAAGAGCAAAAGAAAAAGCACAAGAAACACGTATACTGAGATATTCACATTCACACACAGAGAACTCCCATATAAACATAAAACTGGAAACCATATTGTATATACAAAGATTAAAAAAAAAAACAGAAAGAAAATGCTTAAACCATTATGAGCGCCCCCCCCAACCAAAAAAAAAAAAAAAACACTTCAGAAATACCATTGAATTAGTTTTGTGTTGGCCATCAGCTGCTGTGCATGGGGCCTACCCTTAAGTGTGGTTTGTATACCCAATGAGCCACCACTGGAGAAAATTAAAGGTTCCTTTGCAAGCTGTTACACAGTTGAAGATAGCTTCTGGGTTAGGGATGTGGGCTTGTATCCACTCTTACTTTCTGCTCTGGGACCTGATCTGGCTTGGACCCCTATGGGCCCTATGTATAATGCCACAGTCTCTGTCAATTCCTATGTGCATCTGTCCTGTTGTGTCTAGAAGGCCTTGTTTTCTTGGTGTCATCCATCCCCTCTGGTGCTTACAATCTTTCTGCCTCCTCTTCCTCAGAATTCCCTGGACCCTGAGGGGAGGGATTTGATGGCGACATCCTTTAAGGACTCAGTGCTCTATAGCCTCTCACTCTCTGCACATTGTCTATTTGTGGGTCTCTGTGTTAGTTCCCATCTACCGCAAGAAGAAGCCATCTGATAATGGCTGAGCAAGGCACTGATCTATGACTGTAACAGAATGTTGTTAGGAGTCATTGTATTGCTATGTTCCTTTAGCAGAACAATAGCATTTGGTTTTCCCCTGGGCCAATGCCCTGTCTAGTCTCAGGTTCTAGATCACCGGAGCAGTGTCAGGCATGGGCAGCATCTCATGGAGTGGGCCTTAAGTCCAATCAGATAGTGGTTGGTTAATTCCAGAACTTTTGTACCACTATTGTACCAGCCTATCCTGCAGGCAGGTAGGTCACTACTGTAGATCTAAAGGCTTGTAGCTGGGTTGGTGTTTACTTTTCTCTCTTTGTAGAGTGTAGAGTACCTTCCAGTACCATGAACACTAGCTAGAAAGTAAGAATGAAGGCTCGAGGTTGACACCAGCTTGACTTCTCCATCTCCGGTGACTTTCATAAGTATTGTATTCAGCAATAGGGCCTTATTAACAGTTTGTGGAGAGTAACCAATAGCCTTGGCAATAGTCTGAGTTATTTTCAGGTTTCCAGGGGGGACTCTTTGGTCAACAACTTGATTCTGTATAACCCATTCCTGGCACTGAAGGGTTCCTTTTGTAGCACACATTCTCATTCTTTGAAAAGCACTTAAAACTAATTTTAAAAAAAAAAAAGAAAGAAAGGAAAGGAAAAAGAAAGAAACGTCCCTGAAATTTTTATGAAAATAGTACTTCCCAGAAACTGATTAACGAGACTAGACAGATAGATAAAGAAACACTGTCTTAGTTTCCTTTCCTGTCAGTGTGGTAAAATACTCTGATGAAAGAAATTAAGGGATCCAGAATTTATTTTAGCTCACAGTTCAAGGTCCAGGCCATCATGACGGGGCAGTCAAAGCGGCAGAAACCTCAAACAGCTGGGCATATCAACTTCACCATCTTTCCCACGTTTCTGCAATAAAGATGGTTCAGAACACAGCAGTCACATGTTCCTGTGCCTCCTTGTCTGCTGTCCGGGCACAAAACGGAGTGATTAGGGGGTTTGTCTCCACTCTTGTGACTCATTGGCGGTTCTGTGACTCGATGAGCATGAACGTTCCTGTGAAGTGCCTCATAGAACAAATGTCACACAGCTTTATGTTTGAAGTATTACCTGTTAAGTGTTAACTAGAACACATGGCTTTGAGGTCTGTTTCCACATGTTCTCATATTTCACATGTGTTTATGTCTTTTCAGATAATCACAAGGACTGCTCTGGTGTGTCCTTACACCTCACACGTGTGCCGTAAGTGCCTCCAGTTTTTCCAGACAAGATCTTTGAGAACTTAGAAATGTTTTTAGTTATTTGATGTAGATTAATTAACCTGAAATTCCTGGCTCAAAGCAATAAATATTTGTTATCTCAGTGTCAGGTGTCTTACAAGTAGGCTTCAATGAGAGGCTGTATGGGGAGTCAGTCCTTGTTAGATTGAGCACGAAAGAGTCACCTCCAATCACTCACATAGTTGACTGGGGCTCTCCTTCACGTTTTTTGTTTGTTTGTTTGTTTTTGACTGTTTTCCTTACAGACTGTAAACAGTTTAGATGACAATACATACAGGGATGGAGGAAGAAAAAGGAAGAGGAAAAGTGAGGACAGGGTGGGGAAGGAGAACAATGAGGAGACACGTTATGGGACTGACTAATCCAAAATGTGTAGGGCTAAATGGAAATTCAGGACAGAGTTGATAAGGTTGCATCACAAAAAATAAGCAAATAATAATAATGATAATGAAAGGGCTTGTATGAAAGATAAGATTCGAAGCCGGGCGGTGGTGGCGCACGCCTTTAATCCCAGCACTCGGGAGGCAGAGCCAGGCGGATCTCTGTGAGTTCGAGGCCAGCCTGGTCTCCAAAGCGAGTTCCAGGAAAGGCGCAAAGCTACACAGAGAAACCCTGTCTTGAAAAAAACCAAAATAAATAAATAAATAAATAAAAGTGACTGCGGAAATCGCTTCTCGGCCTTTAAAAAAAAAAAAGATTCGAGCCATTTATCATTTAATAAACTAACCTTAGCAGTGGCGTCATACTGGCTATATTTGCTAGACGTCACTTACTACACTTACGTTGCCAACACTCAAGAGAGAGAGCATTAAACAAGAACATGTATATCACAGCTTTGGATCACGACAACCCTGTTAAGGTCTCCAAAGAAGTTTGAATTATGGAGGATGGAAATAGGATGAGCAGAAGAGGAGGAAAGAAAAGGAGAAAAGGAAAAAGAAATGGAGGGGAGAGGAAGGGAGGGAGGGGGAGGGAGGAAGAAAGAAAAATTGAGGAAGAAGGGTGAGGACATTGAGGAGACGTGCTTTAGAACTGACAAGTCCAAAGTGTGTAAGGGCTAACTGGAAATTCAGGACAGAGTTGATCCGGTTACATTATTGGCAGTTTTTAGGGAGAATTCCATCATTTTAAGGGAACTCAGTCTTCTTTCTTAGGACCTTCAAGGATGAAATGAAACCTACTCAGATTATGGAGAATAATCTGCTTTATTCACCGTTTTGTTTGAAATGTTAGTTAAGTCTAAAACAACAACAACAAGACCTTTTCCAACAATACCTACATTGATGTTTGATTGAAAAGTCAGAACCCTTTAGCATAAGCAAGTTTCCACATAAAGTTAGCCACCCAGGAACATTTACGAAATACCTTTACAAAAATGAAGTAGTTTTTAAGGAAAAAAAAGATATCATATGTTTTTTCCTCTCTGCTTCATTTTGATTTACATAAGAATGACAGTTTATAAACCATTATGCCGTATTTTTTCAAACAGGTATTTTGGCTTTGTCACAGAACTGAGAGAAATGTTATTTTTTCTTTTCTTTTCTTTTTTTAGACAGCCTTTGATTGCCGGCATGTACCTTATGATGTCTGTTGACACTGTGATACCACCAGGAGAGAAAGGTAAATAAGTAATGACCACTTAGTGTTTACTATTACCTCATCAACTAGTCTATAAGAGCAGAGTTATAAACTACCAGCTTATAGAACGGCCAATATTTATGTGCATATCTGAAAAATAAATCAGTTCTTTAGCGTCCATGGATTTTAAAAAATATTCCAAGCCAGCAATTTATTGGTTTTCTAATATTTATTTATAAATATGCCAAGAATGGAGGTTCATGGTCATGTGTTGTATAAAGACTAAATTTTACTTTACAAATAAGCTATTCATTCTTTAGATGTAAAAGTTAAAGTGCATACTGTATAGTGGTATAAACTATTATGTGGAAAGGTTCAAAATCAAGAGGCTAGAAAACTCAACACAGCTCAGCCTTAGTACTTAAATATATTAATTTCCCTATTTGCAAAATGGAAGTAACACCCTAGTCTCCCAAGTTATAAAGCTACAAGAATACATATGGCATCATTGATCCAACGAAAATGTCACATTGACTGTGATATGTTTGAGTAGGAATCTTTTAAAGTTAATGTTTAGTATGGTTTATCTATTACTGTTTTTAAAATCTATTTTAAAAACGTATTTATTTCATCTTTATTATTTGCCAGACTGTAAAAAAAAAAAGGAAAAGTATATGGAATGGGTTCATTGTAAATATGAGTGACCAGTTTAATGTTTCTAGGTATTGATATTCATTTTTAAAAGCTCTTTTGGCACTAACATAAAACAAATTTAATGTTTTCCAACAGAATAAATTTCAAGAAAAAGGTAAAAAAAAAAAAAACATGCCTCTGTCTTCATAAAGAGTATTTTGATTTGCTCCTTATCATTCTGTTATTAAATAAAATAAAAACTTTAGGGGAAAATAAGATCAAAATGTATTGTATGAAAGATTTGAATAAATAAATATGAGGCATAAGGCTCTAACTCATCTTAGTAAAATGTCTGGCACAGAATAAATGTTTGATGTCCACTGGGTAATGAATGAGTGTTTATTTCACAAGAAAAATCGAGGGCCAGCACCTGAGACTACCTCACACATACTTTTAACCAAAACAGAACATGCACTTTTCCAGCTGCCTAGTGACTTCTGTCTGTGTTTTCGTTTCCCACAGTGGTGAATTCTGATATTTCGTGCCATTATAAAATGTATCCCATGCATGTGTTTGCCTACAGGGTCCATACTCACCATTTAGGTAAGAACTCAAGCTACATGTTAAATTATAAACGTTTGACATATACTTGCTGGCACTATAAATATAAAATTTGAATTATGCTAGACCTTAAGTACATTTTTATCGAATTCCTTGAATTTTTATACTGTTTCATCATGATTTCATTATGATAGTACTTTGAATTCTGAAACTATTTGGGTTTTATTTTTGAAAAGAAGGTAAATATTAAATGTGGATTTTGATTTTCTAAACGTTTATTATATTGCATGTTTCCAATTTGTGTTTATTAAGGTAAGGTAGTGAGTGGATACAGAGTAAGAAATGGACAGTGGACGCTGATTGGACGCCAGAGCCCTCAGCTGCCACAGGTGTGTAGCACCTAATTTAATGCTTTCCTTAAAGTTTCTCTAGATGTGATGGCAGTACTTTCTTTCTGAGAAATATTTTTTATGAATTCTATGAGAATTTCATACACTTTACTTTGATCATCCTCAACCCTCCCCAGGTTGCCACAGATCCCACCAGGCCTCCCCACCCACCCAACTTCAAATTCTCGCTTTTCTTTTTTCTTAAGCTGTGGAGTTCAGTTTATGTGGCCGACTCCTCTTCTGAGTGGACCCTACCCGGGAATGTGGTCAACCTAACCAGGGGCCACACCATTAAAGAAAACTAGCTCTCCTACCAGCAGCCCTCAAATGACAGTAGTTTCTTGGCTAGTGGTGAGACGTCATGCCTACCTCTCCCACCTCCGTGCTGGGATTCTTTTGACCTTGAACTTGCACGGGTGTTTTTCATGCTCTAACTTCATATGTGTAACTGCCCTTCATGTCCAGAAAACGCTGTTTCCTTGAAGTCATCCACCACCTCTGACAGTCACAGTCTTCTGCTGTCTCCTCTGAGGAGGTCTGGTGTGATCTAGACTGAGCATTCCAAGCTATTTTCCTCTCTGCTTGTTGGACAGCTGGGGTCTCTATGAATTGTCATCTGTGCAAGGGAAAGCATTCTGATGAAGGGGTTGAGAGATGCATGGATCTATGGGTACAGTAATGTCATTAGGAGTCATCTTAATAGGTTGTCAGTATTTTCTGCCCCATCATTCAGTCTGTTTCAGAAAGCTCTTCTTCTAGACATATTGAGCATGGGTGGGCGGGGGGTGGGGAGGGTGGTTTTATAAATAGTGTTAGTTTATTTTAAAGTCTGGCACTTGTTCTATAATGTGGAATTGATAGATTAAGGGAGAGCTCATTTTACCTAGCCATTGTTTTGTGTGTGTGCAAGGATCAGGAGAGCTGTGTGTCTATCTTTATCTTTTCTACCCACAGTGCTCCAGGCCTCATATGAATCAAGCATGTATTTCTAAGTAACAGTAGTAATTTTAATGAATTGTTGCATTTGTCTTCTGGGCAGGCTTTCTACCCTGTGGAGCACCCAGTAGATGTTACTTTTGGTGACATCCTGGCAGCAAGATGTGTATTCACTGGGGAAGGAAGGACAGAAGCCACCCACATCGGGTAAGAGTCTGCACTCCCCCTATTCACAGAGAGTATATCAGATGATGTCAGAATTGTAGATAATAGTGATCTCTGTGAATGAATGATACACACGTTTGGTATCACGAGCAATTACAGCAAACTAGCATTGTACCACTCCCAAGCTGACTGATTTGGAAAAGCCTTAGACTGTGGCCCTGCTTTTACCACAGCATTTCTTCCTGCCTCATCATTGCTTTGCCTGTTATGGTTATTGCAAGACCCTGTTTCTTCTTTGGACTCATCTTAGTAAAGGAAATAAGATGATTGTGAAAATTTGTTTTCACAAGAGTCCTTTTGCCCTTATTTTAAAGTTAAGCAAACAAATACTCAGGCCCACGGTTCTGTCTGTGTGCTGAAGCGATTTCCAACCTGAAATTTTCAGTTGCTAGTCTACCAAAAGAGCATAGTATCCATCCCCTTTCTAATAAGGGATGTCAAGACATAATTGCTTCTCAAAATGCTGAAGTATACCATCAAATAATTTTAATTTTGTCATAAAAAATGTATTGTGACAATCTCTAAAGCATTAAGGACTCTTCAAAAATAGATTAGAGATTTAAAATGAAAGGCAAAGTTTCTGAGGCTTTCTGCTAGAAAATGATGTAGGTGCTTCCTTTCCGTGTGGAACTAGGTTCAAAGGTACTTACTTAGTCCACTTGGAAGCTTGAGAAGTTCCAGAGAGTAATGCTGATATAGAAAGAGGATTTTCAGAAGAGTGGTAGCTACTGACATGGAACCACACTGGGTAAGAGAAAGAAAGGGCAGGGGAGCACTTGGTGGATTTTTCATATCACTCTAAGATAGGTTTTCATTTTTTTTTTCTTTGTAATGGGCAAACGGTATCCATTTGTGTTAAAGAGGCAGCTTCCCAACAGCTTTCATATTGCATGAGGTTCCTTAAATTTGGGGAGAGGACTGGAGACAAGCAACAAAATTATTGAGTTTTCATACATAACGATACGATAGTTCAGGGGGAGGCTTGACGGCATAGACATAGCTATACTGGAGAGAGGGAACGGGCCGCTCCCTCTCTAACAGTCTTTGACACTTGAGGTAAAGTGATCCAGAGCGTATTGATCAGCTGCTCTCTGCCCTGTGCTCTTGTGGGGCCACAAGAATGGTAGTTAAGTGCCAGAGGTTATTCTGTTAACCTTCTCAGTAAGTAAACAAAGTGGTTCAAAATAAACGCTTTCAGAGCATTACATGTATTGATTTGCAAGCTTAAGTGTGAGAAAATAGAATATTTTAGCCTCAAGGACCTTAACAATTTGGGTAGGGGACTCACAGCCTTGGCCAGATTCTATCGTTGGAGTTTTTCTTCTGAGGTAATTTCCAGCATGAAAATGGATGCCTTGTTATAGTGCCAGAGTGAGAAGCCAGAGTGATCTCTGGAGGCCTCTTTCAGTTTCATGAGACTAGAATAATTCTAGTCTTTTAAAAACTGTACATTTTGCTTTAAAATACCCTAAAATGATGATACTACTTTATCCTTTAGTAACTCTCTTGTGAGATAAAGTAAATACTATTTCTAATATAAATGAAATAGAAAGGGATTATAGGAAATCAAGTTATTTGGTGAGTCTATATTTGAATATTTAATTTATACTACAGATTCATTTTTCCAGAAGAATAACAAATTAATAAGACAAGTTTGAAGAAATCTAGACATGAATAAAATTTTTATTATAATGCTATATGTCTGTGGTGCTTAATGTGCCTTTTAAATTTAGAAAGATACTGTCTACAGTGTGTCTTGTACATTAGCAGGTATAATTTCCATAGAGTACTATAGGATCACAGTTGAAAATGTAAACAGGAAATGTGTGTGTGTGTGTGTGTGTGTGTGTGTTGTGCGCCAACACATGTGTCCTACAGTATATGTGTGAAAGTTAGAAGACTACTGGAGGGAGTCATCTCTTCTCTTCTACTCTGTGGGTCCCAGGGATCGAACTCCGTTCCTTAGGCTTATTGGCAGGTCTCTGTATCCACTGACACATTTTGTCAAGCCAGTGATCTTAGTTTTATTTGTGGACTCTAAAAAATGGTAAAGTAGAGTTAGAGTCATGGTAAGCCGGAGCCAGAGATAGAGGGAATAAAGTGGGAACGAGTGGAAATTGTTGATGAGAGGGTATAAATTTTTAAAGAGACAAGAAAATAGCTTTTCATTTTCTGTTAGAGAAAATGACTATGTGCAATAATAAATATTTTAAAAATAAATAATTTTCAAGTATATAACTATGAAAAAGTGGCAGTTATGCAAAGTGGTGGATATACTAAAGTACTTTATTCTTTGTTGTATGCACATGCTCAGATGTAATATTGTTCCTAATAACTGTGATTAATTAAGATGTGGCAATCAAAAGTGGTGTTAAAGATATTTTTTAAACAATGTATTTAAATCTAGATAAATTAACAAATATACTCAAGGATAAATGTTATACATAAATATACGTTTATCCTAAATTATAAAATAATACACAAGACACTGTATAAAGTATATACTAATAACATGGTGCAAGTGAAGTCTGTGAAGACGTGATACTTTATGCCTAATGGTGTACATATTTTACATTCAATGAGACACTTCTCTAAATCAATTTCAAATGTTTAGTCAAGTTCAAACAAATAAATAGACTCTATTTAAGTCAGTCAATTAAGCTAATTAAGTCAGCTTATCATCCTAAAAGTTTTTAGACTAAAATTTCTACATCATGAGGATCATCAGATGGCATGTCCCTACTGGTCCTCTTTTCACCAGAAATGTATTATTTCGTGAGAACAGTAACAGAAGAGAATGTGACAATGTCTAAAAGATATTTATCCAAAACAAATAAACCATTTTAATCTATTTTCATTTTTCACTGTTACTTTATTATATCCGAAACAAGGAGTGTCAGTTGTGACATCTTATACACGCTCATCATACACTCCGTTCAGTCGCCCTACATTACTTTCTCTTGTTGCCTTCCTTCTCCTCCAGTCCTGACTCTCTCCTTTCTACCTCATGTCTTTTTATTAATCGACAACGTACAGCACAGCATTTGCAAAGGGGAAGGTATATGATAAATAATGACCCCTTATTGTGCATCTTTAAAAATTATTTAGAATTTTGTATTAATTTCCCAAGTTAGTATGACCCATTTGGCTATATGTAAATCCAGCTTCTGTTGACAATAATAAACAGGACTGGGGGAGGACACCATTTAGCTGGCAGGGTGTCACTGCCTGCATCCTGAGCATGACCTACAGACGGGGTTTTCTAATGATTCATTTTAGAATACTTGCCACTTTCTCAAATCTTCATTATGTACCTTTCTATTATAAAATAGTTTTATGAAAGCCCCTGTGACACCGAAATAGATCATCAATACAGATGAATATTTTTCAGAAATACCACACACACACACAAAAAAAAAACCCCATATGCTTTTGAACTAAACCATCATTCAGCTGTATGGTATAGCAGAGCCTGTGTATTAGAACATGATAAATTACATGCAGCTATTCAGCAAGATTCTTCCTCATCATTCGCCATTCATTTCCTGAGGTTTTCATTCTTTCCAGGCCGACTAAAGCATATCTGATTTAGAGCTACTGGTATTAAATATGCCAGTGTAAAGAAGAAATTATCACATGGACACTTGGGTATGACAGAAGTGCAGTGCAGCGATGTTGGAATATTGCTGGTACCCCGGGTCATCATTTTAGAGAATACATTGGCACTTGGGAATATCTAAAAGTCCAGGAACCCAGGCCGACCCATGAACACTGCCTTCCTCCACCACTACTTTTCCATGTGAATAACTATTCAGACTAGCAGTTGGGTTGCTTATGTTGACCTCTGTGGAAAATAATGGTCTGTGTGGTCAAAATACTCCCTCAGGAGTATAGAAAGCAGACAGTCTGGTATAATGTGAATTTTGGTTTTCAGGAATACAGAAAGCAGTGAGTATGATATATGGATTTTTGTTTGTTTGTTATATTTTTGTCGTTGGCTGTTGTTTTTAAGAGGAGAAAAAAACATGAAAGATTGTGGAATAAAACTAACAAGCTATATGGATTCCTAACCATCCTCACCATGTGATGGGCTCCCTGTTGGAGAGGAGGAGAAACTCAGTTCCCTAGACTACAAGTCCAGTTAGTAGTAGATAGGAATTAAGCATGTTCCTTTCTATCCAGCCTTTCCAATGAAATTTTCCTTACAGTAGCCAGTATTTATAAATTATTTATCAACCCATCTTTGTATCCCCAAGTCAGTACCTCCAATGAACTAGATTTGTGGGTAGATTAATTTTTCTCACAGAATCATGTTTAAAGATGAACATATTCATCTGTCTCTAAGATGAACACATACTACTAATTGCATTCATGTACCATGTGAATAGATTTGTGTGCAATATGGGCACATATGTATAATGTACACATACATTTATGTGTAATTTTTTTCATCATAACACATGGTAAGATAATTCATGTTAGAAGTTGCTACATTATTTTTATTTTCACAAATTTACTAAAATAATAAACTATGATATTAAGTAATAAAGAACAAAGTATGTTATTTTTTGTTTGTTTGTTTGTTTGTTTTGGTTTTTCAAGACAGAGTTTATCTATGTAGTTTTGGTGCCTGTCCTGGATCTCGCTCTGTACACCAGGCTGGCCTTGAACTCGCAGAGATCTGCCTAGCTCTGCGAGCCGAGTGCTGGGATTAAAGGTATGCACCACCACTGCCCAGCTATGTTATTTTAAAATACTTAACCATTTGCATTTTCTTAATTGTTACTTGTTTCATATTTACATTTATAATTACATTTCTCTCTTTCATCTCTTGCATATACCCATCCTTGCTCTCTTTCAAATTCCTGACCTCTTTTTTTCATTAGTTGTTATTGCATGCATATATGTATGTGCAGATACATACATATTCCTAAATGTAACCCACTCAGTCTGCATAAAGTAACTTGAATATATGTTCTTAT